CTACTAGGGGCTCCTGGCATTGCTACTAGGAGCATTCTTACTACTAGTAACAAGGAGTATGACTCAGTGGGTGGCTGGACTCGTGCGTCCACCACGCTGGAGACGTGGCGCCGACACAGCAGCTCCAGCAGCCGCTCCGTGCCTGAAAGACAGTCTTAATGGACAAAACCGAAAGAATGAAAGAAAATGCCTCTTCAATTGAAAATTTGAGTGGGAAAGGTGCGTTTCTTAGACTCCAATAACTTCAACAGAGCCTTTGGAATCTTTTGGAGTCTTGAGTCTCTTCGTTTTCACAAAGTGTTTCGTCAAGTACAGGAGGCGAGAACCTTTTTGCAAATCTTTGACATGTGAACACTTAGGGACAACTTCGCTGCGCACCTGCTTCAACAATTCCAACACAAAGCACCGCTGCTGGCGTGACTTCGGTGACTTCCTCTTCAGATTCCTCGTCTGACACGAGGATGGCATCATCCCTCAGGTTCGAAAGTTCAAATTCCCTCAAAATCTAAATTTATCTCATTGATGCAAGGTTGTCTTTTACATCTGCGCTGCAAAGCACATGTTCTTTTTACTTGGCTTCACCCCTTCCCCTACCGGATTGTGCACAGTTCGGTCTTGAAATGTTCGGACTGAACATTCCAAGCATCGACTCCAGGTCAACGATCTCGCACATTCAGGAACGACCGCTGGAACCATAGCTGTAATGAGCCGGAAGCGCGACGTGGCTTCCAAAGCCAAGCAAAGCTGCACAGCTGATGTTCATGCATGTTCATGATTGTTCATGCGACGCAACGGTGGTCCTAAAATCATGTCAGGTCGGTCTTCAAGAGTCTCATGTCGTGCCTAGTTTGCCCAAAGACTGGCCACGACTAACTACCAGAGAATCTTTCAGATTGGCATGAACAATTTGTGGTTCTGGTCTGGTGACTTTGGTTTGAGTCCTATGTTCACTCTTGATATAAAACGCATTCAGAGCGTGAGGCCGCCGCGCAATAGCACGTCGTGAGTGGTCACGCTGATCACAGTGGATTGGGTCAGGTGAGTGAGGTTGCAGTATCCCGCACGGCTTCACATTCTGCAACGAGCATGTGCACTCAGAGAGAGGTGACCAAAATTCGCCCAAACTAACCCCCCGCGTTCAACAAACACAACAAACACTTTTCGAAAGAGAAAAAGAAAACCCACTGCCGCACTTTCCCTCGGTCGCCTGACAACGATCGGCCTTTCGACGCAGGTTTTTGCTCGGTGTCCAGGTAGTGGGTGACCATCCTCGGTCTGTGAGTCTGTCTGTATCTCACCTGGCTCGTCAGGCCCGACTCACGGCCTGCTGCCTGCTGTCCATGCGAGGCGGCTGGTTTGACTCGTCAATCCCGCCCTTTTGAAGGGAAGACCTGCTTGAGCTTCAAACTTTACACACATTGAACTGTCCTTCCTCCTCTTGAGGTTCATTCTCAGTTGCGCGCCTTGTAGCTTCGTTCGGCTCTTTCACCTTTCCTTTGCCCTTATCTTTGCAGCCGTTGTCATTTGTCATTGCTGCAACCGCCCTGCCCCCTTGACCGCCTCGACCATGTGTAGCCTAGCAAATTTTGACCTTTTGGGTCGAAGGTTGTCTTTTTTGGCTGCGGCCTCATCCACCCTGCATCCTCTGCTGAAGGGCCCGGCGGTCTCACGGGCAATGATTTTGCTGAATTCAAAGCGCGCAGCATCGCCGGCTTCCCGAACTTCTTTTCACAAGTAACTCTAAGAAACTTGCACTGGCTCGAATGACGGAGCTCCACGGTCCAGGGCTGCTCTAGTCTAGCTGAGATGAATGCAAACAACGCAGGACGCAACAAATGGAAGGCCTCCTTCTCTTCTCAAAACGCCAGACGTCGAAGCCAATCCGGCTTCATGGCCTTGGTTGGGCCGATGGCCTCCCAAAGGGCCGGGTCCAGAGGCTGGACAGCACATCAAACCGGCGGTGAATCCTGGGCCGAGCTGCAAAAATTCCCGAAGACTGCAAGACCGGCTGCCTCATTGGTGGTGGCCATGCGGGCGTTGTCGCAAGATTGTCTGAGAGAAATCCACCTATATGGCAAGCCCTTCTCGGGCAGGAGGCGCTGGTACCTGCACGAGCACCTCCAGAGCCGCGATCCGCCCTGGAAGATCATCCCCGCGCACAAGCCAGTCGGGCAAGTCGGCCGGCCCGGCGTAGCCGGAAACTAAAATGGTGGATGCTTGCAGCAACCATGTCGCTGCCCGATCCCCCACGAGTCCTGTACCATCTGACCTGCCACCTCTACCAGCGGGGTGGGGTCAGGGCGCAGGATCTTTTTTGGCACCACAACCTCAACCTCAACACAGCCAGCTTTGCTTCCTGACACTAAGGTACCTGCAGGCCTGAAAGTCTGTCCACAAGAAAACGCTGAAAGACAAGTGGGTTCAAAGGTTTGCTTCCTGCCAAGGATGGCAGGGGGCCGTCCCCCACTGCCGCGTCAACAGATCTAACTAGCCGCAGCCTGGATTGAATACCTGCGGGTTGGATTCGCTCCATGCAATTTTGAATCAACATGCACACAAGGTCCATATGATTTTAAAATACTTTATACTAATGCGTCCTATGGCCTATACGACAACGTGATGACGGAAGGGGGCGCTTGGCTCACGCCGCCCGAAAGCATTGCAATGTTCAGTTGCATGGTGGACATCGCAGCTAAGCATAACTCTGCACTCAGCGACGCCTTTTTCAACCGATAGGCTTGGGAGAGACTTCACAAGCTCGATCACGAATGACAACCTCGAAAACAAACGTGCAAGAAATATACATAACCCCATCGTGATCATCGTAACCCATCGTAATCCATTCCATGAATTCAGCTCATCTTGGCGCAAAAGAAACCAGAGATCTATTCGCTAGACATAGTTCTACAGAGAAAACACACACTTAGATTTAGAGCTCGCAAGAGCAAGAACCAGTTGCGAAGCTCCAGTGAAGTTAGCCCTTTAGGACCTAGTTGTTGCAATACCAGTCTAGAGCGCCGAAACCTGAAACCTGCAAAATGGCCCTGAGCAAACCGCAAGTTGGAAGGGTCCACAACGATATGGGTTGAACTCACCTGAAAGAGCAGGTACGTCACGGTGAGCCTCGAGAGACAGGCCTAACAAACGAAAAGCAGAAAAGAAAGAACGGCCGGGGGGCAGGGGGGCATTGCCTGAAACGCATGGCATGTAGCCAAACAGCCATGTCGGCGCTCACTTGAATTGGAAAATGAATTACACCCAACAAGCCTTTAGCAACGAACAAAGGCCCTAGAAAAAGAAGGGAAGCCGAAAGAAGAAAAGCAGCTCACGCAGCTTGAAAAATTGAAATCGTGATGCGTCACGCGTCATGTCATTCTATGGGAATGTTCAGGACGCCCTGCGGCGTTGAATCAGCACTCTCGAGCATAAGCGGACTGTCAGGGGTGGTTGAGGCAAAACGACATGTCAGTAGAAGTCCCCCTTAAGGGTCTGTGAGGACAGCGCCCCCAAAAATGGGTTCACACAGTGCACCGCAGCGGGACGGCACTGCAGGTCACACTTAGACAAAGAGCTCGCAAGAGCAAGAGCCAGTTGTGAAGTTCCAGTGAAGTTAGCCCTTTAGGTTCTAGTTACTGCAATACCAGTCTAGAGCGCTGAAACCTGAAACCTGCAAAATGGCCCTCAGCAAACCGCAAGTTGGAAGGGTCCGCAACAATATAATATGTTCTGAACTCACAATCAGAGCAGGTACGTCACGGTGATCAAAACCTTGGTTAAAAAAGGGGGGCCGAGTAAGCCAGGTTGCAGGAAATCAGCCATGGTAAGCGTCTCTCAGTCTGCCGCCCAACCGTTAGTTCAATCTGCAGGTGTACTGTCCACAAAGCAAGAGCTTGAAAGTCGGCAGGTCAAAGCCAAAATTCACTGAGTTCTTTCAGAAAGGAATTCAAAGAACTCGTCCAGAAAGGAATTGCACATATGCACTGGGACATGCAAAATGTACAAGAACGAAGCTTCACAAGAGAATCGCCGTTACAAGTAGATTTCAATGAAATTCAAAACACTTAAAGTAGCAGCTACGTTTACAGCTCTCACCATTTGGCCATCCACCAATGGTGAGAGGGATGGCCCCCTGCTCAAACAGTCAAAACCAAAAGGTTCCCTGTGACTCCAAGGGTTTCACACACACACACAAACACACTCGCAAGCTGCGGAGACAAGTTCTTACAGCTATGAAAGCTTCACAAAGAAACGAGTTTGTTTCTGCGAGACGCTCGTGTGGGTGTTTCTTCTGTATTTCCGTCAACCATATCGAAGGCCGATCAGGTGTGCTTTGTTGGCGCTGGGAACATAACATCTGGTCCTTCATCTTTGAATACAGTGCCAAGCACATTTGTTCTATTGGTCTTCTATCAGAGCCTGCTTGCATGCACGCCTAAATATCCAAGTGGCAAAGACTGGCTTTAAGTTTCATGCTTTATGTCAGCCTTTCTCAGTGCAGAAAGATTGGTTTAAACTTTTGAGACGTCCGTATTCATGCCTGCTATGTTCGTGAATACATCAATATGACTTGTGCGCTCAGACTGTAGGTTTGAGCAAACGAACTGGCTTTCATTGTTGCAGTCAGGCTGAAACCAATGCTAACCATTTGTGGGTCGGCAATTGCAGCTGAGGACTATGTCATCTGCACCAAGGGTGGACAACTACCCTGGCCGTTGCGTTTTACAGATTGAAAGCTTGCTCCGGTGCTTAAAAGTTGGTTGGTTGTGCTCGTGAACCCTGTTGACTGCTGCGAAAACCAGTCCTTCTGCAATTGACTGCGCAGGCATAATCTGTAGTTTGCATTTGGACCACATGTACGAATAAATAGGATAAATATGGACATGATCTATTGGATGTGGTAGTCTGAGCAAAGCACGGCGTATTCCAAGCCTGGACTGAGCTCAAGTGCCTCCACATGACTCTGTTGAAGCGCTCAGCAAAAACACGTGTGACATCCATGGTATCTCTTGAAGCGCCGCCACCACAAGAGTGCCTGATCGCAATCACCTATGGAATCATCACGGTGGCCAAGGCAAAGGTGTGCCTCCAGAAAAACAAACAAAAATACTACTAACAAGAAGCTACTAGGGGCTCCTGGCTTTCCTACTAGGAGAAAGGACGCTACTAGGGGCTCCTGGCATCGCTACTAGTAACAAGAAGCTACTATAAACAACATGTCAAAGAGATTCAAAGAGATTGCATGAAGCGAGCAGGCCTCAGCCCTAACAGCCAAGGTGTACGGATCCGTTGGCTCCAACGCAAGTGCCTTGGTAAATCACGCAACGCCTTGCATGCAAAGCTGTAGTATTTTGATGGGAAAGGAACTCAACAGCCCTCACACTGGCAGTCTTGTCTTGTCTTGAAGTAGGTTCGAGCATGTTCAGCATGGCTTCAGCATGTCTTCACGGCTTCAGAACTTTTCCGCGAACTCCAACCAGCTCGCCCAAGTTGGATCTTGAAGCAATGTCCTGCAGGCCAGAGTCGTTGACCCAAAAAAGCACACCCATGAAAATAATCCGGAATATACTGGTAACAAGAAGCTACTAGGGGCTCCTGGCCTTGCTACTAGGAGCAAGGACGCTACTA